ATTATTATTATTATCATCATTATTACCCGTGGAGAAGAAGATGGCGCCCTTGGCCCTCTCTTGGCCCGCCTCCTCTGTGCTGTGGGACAGGCTGATGAAGGCCACAATACGTGGCCAGATGGCCCCAGCCACGCCGACAGAACGGACAAGCGTCCCCATGAACGCCAGAAACACCGAGATGTCTCCGCTGTGGACCACGGGACATGGGACATAGGAATGAGACGAGGGAGACAGAGGGACAAAGCGATGTAATTAGTTGACATGTGTCACCCATGAACGACACAAACAGATGTCTGTGCTGTGGGATAAGGGATATAGTATAAATCTTTTTTTTTTTTTAAATTCAAATGTCAGCTGAATTCGTTTGTGTTTTTAAATTAATAAAATGGATATTTGGAATAATTTTCTATAGTCAGAACACATCGTTTTATGTTACTATTGTCCGTTGTACGTTGTACTGCATTGTAAAGCGCTCAGAGCCTGTGTAATTTTATCGGGTTTGAGCGCTATATAAATGTCATTTATTATTATTAAGGGAGGCACAGAAGGACGACCCGATGTAATTTTAGTTGGTTTAGTTTTAGTAAGAGTTTTACGGCACTTGCAACACTAGAAGGTCATTTAAATGCCTAAGATTAGAGGTGCTACAAGAGAGTAACTAACACAAAAAAGAACGAGGGGAGATAGAGATGATAGATTTTTTATAGGAAAGAAGGAGCAAACCACACCAGGCACCCGCCAATCACCCACGTAGTTAGTTGATATATGGTGGAATCAGGCGCCCGTCAATTTCTGGGCATGTTCAGTTTTATCATTGTAAAGCCTGTTCATATGCCTTGCTTTTGATAAAACAATATCCATTCATCTTGGCTACAAGTTGAAATCTTTGCGATTGAAGGAGGTGGGGGTCGCCTGGTTTCAGAGGTGAAAATAGCGAGAAAATAGACGCCAAAGTTAAGTATTTCCTTAGCTTTGAGAGGCCGTAGAACTGAAAATTTACTTTTGTTCGTGCTCCAATCAACGTTTTCTAGTATAATCAACACATGAATGCGCCCTTTAATGGACATGAAAAGTGATGAGCCAAAATATGAAAATTCAATAAAATTCCCAAACCTGCGGGAAAATTCCAGTTTTTTCACTTTTATTATTTTGACGAGCGTCTGATTTCACCATACAAAAAAGACAAACAAAAAGGTGTGTTAGATCCTACACACAAGACAAAACCTGCTAAGCAAAATAAAATGTTGAAAAATACAATACTATGGCCATTTAAAAAAGAAACGAGACCATTGTGAAAGAGGTGCTTGAAGGAAAAATGTGGGGCAGAAGAGCCATAGGAAGGCAAAAAATAATATGGATGGTCAACATAAGAACATGATGGAGTGGACTGGATACGGCAGAATGTGTAAATGCAGCTCGCGACCACGAAAGATGAATGGTCATTAAACGTCAACCTCTGAGTCAGTGATGAAACCTCCAGGTAACCAGGTATAAAGTACAAAATGTACAATTCTTCAATATGTTGAGATGCCGTACTACACACAGGGACAAGCGAAGTAATTAGTTCATATAACGCACAAAGCCCCGAGATGTCGAAAAGAGCGTTACTTATGGAAAATACTACTTGTGTTCTTTAGTCATCCGGCAAAATACAGTAATGATATTCTCTCAAAACTGAAATTGTTTTAATTTCAAAAATAGTTTTGCGTCTGGCTTACATTCGTAGCCTTCACATCAAACCACAAAATCGTAAACAATTAATAGTATTCTTTCCTCATCTACATAATCATCACAGTTATTGTTGTTATCATAATAACATCAGCAACAACGGCCATGAAGTAGAAAGTAGTCTTATGGCCTTAAACATCAACAACAATGGCTGTGAAGTATAAAGACTGATTGATTGAGTAGATGTGTTACGGCACTATCGACTCAATTTTGGTCATTTAAGCATCTACAACAATGGCTGTGAAGAATAAAGTAGTGTAACGGCCTTAAACGTTAGCAACAACGGGTTTGAAGTAGTCTAGTGGCTTTAAACAGACGCGAGGGGGGGGGGGGGGCTCTCGTGGCCTAGAGATTAAGGCGGTCGTCACTCATGCAAAGATCTCGGGTTCGAATCCAGCGACGAAAATGTTTCTTCTCTTAGATTTTATTGTCTCCTGTCACCTCCTTTCCTCCTTCCTTGCAATGTTCTGTAGTCTGCTTTCGTCTCCATTTTCTGCCCCCACCCCCTCACCTCCTTTGCGTCCTCCTCTGGGCTCCTCACTCTTTTTGCAGCCTTTCTACTGGTTCTCCTTGGCTCCTTTCTACTGCTGTCTTTCTGCCACACCCCTGATCTTCTGGTAGGAAAGATCTACACCTAGACTTTTCAGATAAGGGCAAACAATCTCGGAGGACCCGTGCGCAAGTTGCACACCTTAAATATCAATTGGTGGTCTAAAATCGATAATAGTAGGAGGCTTCAGCCACCCCCTGGGAAAAATTTAAAATGTCCTACCAACTGAAAATGTTTAATACGCCCCTCGCGCTCATAGGACGGTATGCAGCTGCGATCGCCGTAAAACACTTACCAAAAAAAACACACCAAACAAACAAAAACACCCAAAAAAAAGAAATGAGTGCAGATATACCTGAAGTAGTCCACGATATCGTACTCGCCGCTGTTGGACACGTCGATATCGTGCCGGAATCGAATAAGCGACTCCCTCTGTGCCCTAAGGGAAGACATCCGGGTCGTGTTGCCCACCTGGCTCTCGCCCGGCCACAGACTCAGGCCCAACAAGGTATCGTCCACGTGCATCCTCTGAGACAGCATGGCGTTCCTCACCTGGTCAAACGAGTGGGTGGAAGGACGAGCGAGAGCGAGTTAGTTTTGTTGCATTTGTTCCGCGCTTTTTACCGATCGGTGCTATATATCTTCAGATTGTGCTACGCGTTTTAACCATCGTATAATTGCGTGGCAATCTAAAAATTGGATTAATATTTTATATTTTTTAAATTCATTTTCTTTTCAAATTCACTTCCATCATATCTTTATTCTTTTACTCACCCCAAGGAACATTTACATATCATATTTTCAAAAATGAAAAAAAATATGAAAATAACATTTAAAAATGACATATGAAACTCTAGAGTTCACAAGAATGATACAATTATAAGATCGTTAAAACGCGCAGCGCAATCCAATTGTACAATCGGTAAAACGAGCGGTGCATGCACCGATCGGTAATTGGCGCAAAACATATTAACTCGGTCACCCTTGTGCTCATTTTCGTTGTTTGGTTGGATAAAATTGATATTTATCTACCCTGTATGACTACTTCCACAACATATTATGCATTCTTTTTTTCAGTTACAGTAACTGGAGGTGTTTTTACACCCCTTTAAGAGAATTTAGATCATCTGGTGAGTAAATAACATCCCTATCTCTCACTTTTCTCTGAAGATAGAAATATTTCACTCCGCCCCCCTTTCCAAATCCAAAATTTATTGAACCACTTCCCATCCCCGCCCCACACCTCCGCAAAAACACTGAATCTCTGTTCCCCATCTCTCATAAACAGAGAATCAACAATAATTAATACAGTCAAACAATTTCAGAGAACCAGTCAACTTTCATTCAAAAGAACGCACAAACGTACAGTAGTATATTATAATCCTACACGTTTCCAACACAAAGAAAAAAAATAGTGCGCAACAAAAAGTAGCAACGAACTGTTTTGTGGGACCGATATTGACAATTAATTTCACTTTAGATTATTTTCCCTTTTGTTTACCCCCTAAATAAAATATATGCTGGACAATCACTAAAGACAGTGAAAATGAAATAGAAGCAACAGAAATGTGGTTTCTTAGCAGACTGCTAAGAGTATTGTGGAAGGAAAAGAAATCAAATGAGGTAGTGCTTGACCGCTCACTGTTAAAAACAATCTGGAAACGACAAAATTAAATGCAGTTTTTGTGACACCTGAATAAACATTAAGGGTCTTGAACATCTAGCTCTCATTAATAAAATTGAAGGCAAATGAGGCAGGGGTAAGCCCAGAGCAACCTACTGGGGGAACCTGAACAAGTGGGTGACAGAGAAAGATTAGGGAAGCTTTTTTTAAGAGTATCCAAGCAAAGGAATGAATGGAGAACTATGATCGCGGATGTCTGTCGCAGATCTGGCACTGGATGCTGCTGCTGCTGCTGCTGCTGCTGCTGCTGCTGCTGCTGCTGCTGCTGCTGATGATGATGATGATGATGATGATGATGATGATGATGATGATGATGATGGTAATGATGAATGCCGCGGGTACACGAGGGGGGGTGTAGGTAACTATAAATAGATTCATGATTCGATTAACACTGTGTCAAACTAGCACACAACTGCACCAATACGAACAGGTGCGAAAGTATTCTACTTTCTTTCCCATTTGTCTATCGTGACTGGCGTATTTAACTTCTCTCCGTTTATCAGCTCCTCGATAAAGAACTAGCCTTGTTTCCAGCCGGGTGATTAATCACTCGTAAACAACCTAACTGTTTCTGACACCACTCTATCAGCCACCACTACTTTAGCTATTCATTAAACAAAATATGTGAGGCAGCGTGATGAAACCAGGCGCTCGTAAAAATATTGAAATCAGAGAAACTGGCGCTTTCCCGCGAGTTTGAACTTTTTTATCGATTGTTTACGTTTTGGCCTAACCTCTTTTGTGTCTATATAAAAACACATTTCAAAGTAAATTTTACTGAGAAACATTTATTAAAGACACAACGTAGATCTACGTCATTTTTATGTTTTCGGAGTCTTTTTAGCTATTGGAGTTACCAAATTTTGGTGGTTATTTTCTCGCCAATTTCACAACTGAAACCCGGCGATCTCACTTCCTTCAAATGCAGATATCTTGAGTTCTATTCATGATAAATAGATATCTATTTCATTGGAAGCAAGGCAAATAAATCAGCTTTCAGAGGATACCAACAACTCCTTATGTTTAAACATCGACAAACGCCTGATTCCACCGTGTCGTGACACAAATTCTCGCGTCACTCGAGACAACAGGTGAGGTGGTTTGTTCCTCAGAACGGAGTGTTTAATTCAGAAATATTGTTATATAGCAGCTATAGTTAACCTCTACTCCACCACACGTTGCAGAAGATATTCGGAGACGACTCCGGCGAGCACCCAGGAACTATTCGGAGACGAACTCCCGCACACATATGCACTGCTTTGGGGGGGGGGGGGGGGTCAAGCTGTGTATTATTTGCTGCAGATCACGTATATATAGCCACTAAAACTTTCGCAAATCAATTATTTTTAAAAAAATTCAAACTTAACAGCAAAATATCAAATTATGGGTTAAAACAGGGGAGCATGCCCCCTGTAACCCCCTAGATTTTATTACTTGGTCTAGAAGCACAAAGCATTTTGATTGGTCTATTTCCGTTGTCTCCGAATAGATACTGTGACCACACGTACAAGACCTGGTCTTAATCAACTCCCGTGCATCAGTTTGTGAGTCTCAGAGTCTCTCTGGAGGGATGCTGTATTTTGCGAATTGCGTTGTGCATATTATTATTATTTTTATTATGTATTTCATTTGTATGTGCTCATTTCGTAAGGTTGTGTTCACACGGGAGAGGGCGCCATAGAAAGGATCTACATTACTATTATATTATTATTATTATTATTATCATTATTATTATTATTATTATTATAACACTCAGCCTGGATTGAGATTCGTTCCAGTAGGTAGGGGCCAAACAGTTCGCATCTCAATAAATTATGTTCTAGATTTTTCAGAAGAGGGTGTTAAGCGTTTTGGAAACATTTTCACAAACCATTCACACATTAAAACGAAATCTACAGGATTTGTACTTTTACTATTAGATCATCTCTATAACTTTAAATAGCAGACCAAAACCAAAGTGGGGCGGTTGATGGTGGGGGGGGGGGCGGCTTGGAGGAACATCTGACACCTTACAGAAATATTTACAATATTTTACAATACCAACACAGAATTTAAAATGAGTTATCGTGGTGAAAACAGGCGCTCGTCAAAATAATGAAATCTGAGAAATCGGCATTTTTCGGCCAGTTCGGAATTTTGTTCGTTGGCTCAACGCCTTGTATGTCCATTCAAAAACACTTTTATATTTGGATTTTATGGGAGAAAACCCCCAATTATTGAAGGGACACCAAAGGCAAATTTGCAGTTTCCAAGGACTCTTAAACTATAGAAGTCACCAAGCTTCCGCGGCCATTTCATCACTTATTTTACTTCTGAAACCAGGCGACCCCACCTCCTTCAATCGCAAATATCTCTACTTCTATTCAAGATAAAAGGATATTTTTGTCATTGAAAGAAAGGCAAGTGAATAACCTCTAAGATAATACTACTATGTCCCCATGCCCAAAAATTGACGAGCGCCTGATTCCACCGCATCCAGACACAAATTTAAGATTCCCATCACCTCGATATCCCCACCCGAGCTGGCGTAGAGTGAGGAGTAGCCCCTCTCTAGCTGCAGGCTGTAGATGACCTCCTTGACCCCCAGGGCCGCCTCGACGATGGCCAGCGCCTCGTTGTTCAGTGTCAGGGTCTTGGAAGCGGCGGAGACGCGGATCAAGTTCTGGATGAGCAAAGTAAGGACGGGGACAAAACCCACACTGAGGAGGATGGCCAGCAGGAAGTGGCGCCCGTGCTGTGTCTGGAAGTTGAGCTTGGTGGCGCAGTAGCTTCCCTTGGGGATGTGGAAGCTGGAGAGGGAGGAGGTCCTGGAGCCAGACAGCGAGTCCATGGTGGATTCTGGCGTCACAGCTGGGAAATGAGGGAAGAGTAGTTTATAATATTATTATGGGTACTGCGCTATTTGCAGATCGGCGCAATCTAAAGACTGCGCTGCGTGTTTTAACGATCGTATAATTGTATCATTCTTGTGAGCTCTTCAGTTTCTTATGGTAATTTAAAATCTAGTTTTAATTTTCATATTTTTACACTTTTGATACCTGACATTGTATCATTTTTGTGTGCTCTTCAGTTTCATACGCTAATTTTAATTTTAATATTTTTACACTTTTGAAAATATATGTCAAAGAATAAAAATGGAAGTGTTTTTGTTTTTTTAATTACTTTCAAAATATAAAATATTAACACAATCTTCAGATTGCCGTGCAATTATACGATTGTTAAAACGACTAGTGCAGTCCTAAGATTGTGCCAATCGGTAAATTGCATAATATAATAATAATAATAAATATGTGAGGCAGCGTGGTGGAATCAGGCTCTCGTCAAAATAATCAAAGTGAAGAAACTTGCATTTTTCCGCAGGTTTGTGAATTGTTATCAAATTTTTGTTTTTTGACTCAACATCGTTCATGCGCATTAAAGAACTCATTTCTGTGTGGACATTTCTTTAAAACGTTGATTAAAGGCACACAAAAATGTAAATTTTCAGTTACCACGGGCTCTTAAGCTAAGGAAATAACTAATCTTTGGCGGCCATTTCTCACTAATTTTACCTCTGAAAACAGGTGACCCCCACCTCCTTCTTTCGCAAATATTTCGACTTGCATTCAAGATAAATGGATATTTCTTTCATCCAAATAAAGACACGTGAACAAGCTTTAAGATGATGCCAATAACTCTACATACCCAAAAATTGACGAGAGCCTGATTCCACCACGCTGCCTCACATATGCACTTATAATATTATGAGGTAGTATTGAAGAAGCCAACGTGGGCCGCTCGCTGATAAAAACAATCAGGAAAAGACAAGGGCCGTTTTGGGGACGCCTAAATAAACATAAAGGCCTTGAACATTTTTCTCTCTCTCTTTCAAAATTACAGGAAAACGAGCCAGGGGTAGGCCCAGAGCAACTTACTTAGCGAACCTAAACAGATAAGTGTCGGGGAAAGATCAGGATAATGTAGTTTTTTTAAGAGCATTCGAACCGTGAACGTCCAGGTCTGTCACAGATCTGGCACCCGATTATGATATTATGACCTAATTGTGTTGCACGCAATAGCCGTAAAACCCTAACTAAACCTGAAAAGAACTAACGAAACAGTGTAGAGAATGATGTTTTTAGTAGAACAAAACGGTTAAAAAATAAAACGAGATGAATTATCACGTTGTAAATAAAGGAAAATGAAAAATATATTGATAAAATAAGATAGATTGAGAGGAAATGAAATGTTTGGATTAATAAAGTAAGATCACTTAGAATAGATGAAATGGGGGCAAGAAAAAGTCTGAGCTGAGGGGAGGGATATGACGAGATGAGATGAAAAATATTATGATGCAATTTCTTAATGCAAATGCTTTTGGGAACATTGTTTACGTTTTGTTTTTAGTTATTGATTATGGAATAACAAGTAACAATAACGTTACTGTTTGCGCTATTTTAAACTCCGGGTGGATTACATTCTTAGAAGAAGTAGCATTGGCGCTAAACAACTGTCTTCAATGTAGAAAATATTACTTCCACCTTATGATGTGGCTGTCAAATTCAGTCTGTCATCGGTATGGTCATATTTGTGTAGTGTATATCATAAGCATTCATAAGGTTTGTTTGTGATTTGAAAAATAGAATTGATCTAGAGTAGCAAGTGGTAAGACGACGAAAGAGAAGACAGAGCAAACAAGCAACAGCTATCTAGGTTGAGCTCGACAAGTCGTGATAGGGAAATACAATTGAGCCCAAAAGCCCAGTCATCGATGTGTCGACAAATGCCACACCTGCAAGAGTGACCCAAGTGTGACCCTTCCAGCATCTGACATTGATCGAGTCAGAAACGAGCATCTCACGGAGAAGTTAAAAACTGCTCACTGTCAAGCCAAGTCATGATTGCTAATATTTCTGAAGGCGGAAATTAAAAGCGCTATATCTCCAGGGCAATATTCACATCGTTAATTAATTCTGTTTGACAAGAGACGTCTTGTGTCTGTGGAGTTATAACGAGCTCAGGTCTTCGAACGACGTCACGACTTGTGGATAACACGGCATGTGGACTGGTAACATGTGGGGTTTGTCTTTGGTCTTGCCTACCTCTACCGCACTATATATATATATATATATATATATATATATATATATATATATATATATATATATATATATATATATATATATATATATTCATTGGGTTTATTTGGGGGGTAAATGTTTTACGGCACTCGCAACTGCATAAGGTCAAATGAGCGCCCGGGATACATCAAACATTTTCAGTTGGTAGGAATATTTGAATTTTGCCCGGGTGGCGGCCAAAGCCTACTCTTATCTATTTCGGGCCACCAAGGGATCTTTAACGTGCACAATTTACACTCGGGATCTCCGAGATTTTTCGCCCTCTCCGAGAAGGCTAAGTGTAGAACTTACGTACCATAAGATCATGGGTGTGGCTGAAAGACAGCAGTTAGAAGGAACCAAGGAGAAGCAGTAGAAAGACTGCAGAAAGAGTCAGAAGCTCAGAGGAGGGGATAAAGGAGATGAAGGGGGTGGGAGCAGAAAGTGGAGACGAAAGCAGACGACAGAACATTGTTAGAGAGCAGGAAAAGATGTGTTAGGAGAAAATTTGAGACAAGAAAATGTTCCGTCGCTACCCGGATTGGGACCTTTTGAATGAGAGGCGAAACGTCGCAAAAATGTAAATTTTCAGTTTCCAAAGACTCTTAGGCTATGGAAGTTTCCCAAGTTTTGCAACCATTTTCTCGATAATTTTACCTCAGAACACCGTCACATCTATGACACGAGAGCCCGCGGCCGCACTATAATAGTCTATGTTAGAGGCGACTTTGATCACGGTTGTGTTGTAACTGGGAACATTTGATACAGCATCTACTGTTTCCTTACCGTTTCCTATTTCAGAAATGTACAAGTTCGTGTTATAACCAGAGCTTACTTCTGACTCTACGTTAATTATGTTCCGCGGTGATTTTTGAAAATGCGTTATTAATATTATTAAAAGGACGGGTATCCAGGGGATAGAAATAAGAGGTATTATGTGCAGGCAGATAGTGAGTTCACACTTGCCGATTTAAACAGGGATTTGCCTTAAGCTAACAAACACCTGAGCGTTCCCATTATGTGTGTTCTGACGTCATGTGGCGTAATAATGCGATGTTGATATAATCCGTTATTGCCTGACACACACAAACAAAAAACAAATTCGAATGTGAGGTTATTTATGCATAATGTTATGACATCTTTTACGGATGACAATGGTACCCCCAGTCATGGTGACTACGAAATCATAAACAATCTCCCCCTAACTGAAAGGAAGCGTGAGTTAAGAACAGAATGAATTTGCTTCATGTCACCGACGTGGGGGAATCAGGCACTCGTCAATTTGAGGCATGTAAAGTTATAGGTATCATTGTAAAGTTTATTGTATTCTCTTGATTTACCTGAAAAATGCACCCGTCTACCTTTAATAGAAATCGAATATTTGCGATTGAAAAAGCCTGGTTTAAGGGGTGAATTTGCGAGAAAGTGGCTGCCAAAATTTGGTAACTTTTATAGTTTGAGAGTCATTGGAAAATAAAAATTCATCATTTTTGTGCCTTTAATCAATGTGTTTCAGTGAAATTTACACCGAAATGTGTTTTTAAATGGACATAAAAGATGTTGAGCCTAAAAAAAAACCCAAATATTTCGATTTCATTATTTTGACAAGCGCCTGATTTCACAACGCTGCCTCATATTATTTGTTTTTTCAATTTGAACTTTCACAAGGAGATCAATACATGTGGTCTTATTATGCTCTCCTTTCAAGTTTTCTTTACTCTGTGTGTGTGTTTCTTAAGCTCCAGATCCAACCTTTCACCACAGACTTTTTTCCTATGTTTCACGAAGCGGTGGAATCAGGCGCTCGTCAATTTTCTTGCATGTGAAGTTATTGAATCCTCGGAAAGCTGATTTATTTGCCTTGCTTTCAATGAAATAAATATACATATATCTTGAATAGAATAAAGATATATTATGCTATTGAAGGAAGGGAGGTCGCTTGATTTCAGTAGTGAAATTAGCGAGAAAATAGCCGCCAAAGTTTGGTAAGTTCAATAGCTAAAGAGTCTTTGAAAACAGAAAAATGACAGAATGTTTTACTTTAATCAATGCTTTTCAGTAAAATTCACTTGGAAATGTCATTTTATATGGACCTAGAAGAGACTGAGCCCCCACCCTCCCCCCTCCCAAAAAAACTTTCATGAAAATTCCTGTTTCTCCGATTTCTGTCTTTTGACGAGCGCCTGACTTCACTGTGATGCTTAATATTTATTTGTCTTTGCCATTTGAACTTTCCCAAGGAGATCAAAACTTGTGGTCTGATTATGCTTTCCTTTCAAGTTTTCTCTACTCTGTGTGTGTGTTTCTTAAGCTCCAGATCCAATCTTTCACCATAGACTTTTTTTCCTATGTTTCACGAAGCGGTGGAATCAGACGCTCGTCAATTTTCATGTATGTGAAGTTATTGAATTATCGGAAAGCTGATTTATTTGCCTTGCTTTCAATGAAATAGATATACATATATCTTGAATAGAATAAAGATATATACGATAAAAGAAAGTGAGGTCGCCTGGTTTCAGTGGTGAAATTAGCGAGAAAAAGCGGCCAAAGTTTGGTAAGTACAATGGCTAAAGAGTCTTTGAAAACAAAAAAATGACACAAAGTGTGCCTTTAATCAATGTTTTTCCAGTAAAACTCACATGGAAATGTCTTTATATATGGACATAAAAGAGGTTGACCCCGCTCCCCCCTCCCCCCCCCCCCCCCCAAAAAAATATATTTATTCGATAAAATCTTCCAAACTTTCGGAAA